AGACCGACACGCCACGGAGATCATGCGACGTCGCGCGCTGCCCCGCCCCGCGTAGGCGCCATGGGCCCGCAGCGGCGGTCGACGGTGGGCAAGATCGCGACGCGCTTCGTCGGCGGCATCCTCGGGCGCAAGAGCGCCGCGGCGCCGCCGTCGCCGAAGGTCGCGCCGACCGCGAACTTCGACGGCGCGCCCGCCTCGGCCCGCGTCGCGCCGGCGAAAGCCGCGCACGTCTCGAAGCTGCTGAACGACGTCGTGAAGATCCTCGTCGAGGAGAACGACCGCCCGACGCGCCTCAGGCTCCTCGAGTTCCTCCGGGAGCTCAAGCGGCGCCACGAAAACGGCGACGCGCCCGACCTCAACGAGGCCATGCGCAAGGGCGCGAGCCGCGTCGTCGGCGCCCGGGTCTGGAACGCGGCGCTGGAGAAGGCCTGCGACGCGGCGCGGGTCGCCGTCGGCGCGTCCGCGGACGCCGCGCCCGTGCCCGAGGACGACGCGCCCGCGGAGGCGCCCGCGGCGGCCGCGGAGCCGCCCGCGGAGGGGCCCGCGCCCGCGGCGGCGCCGCCCGCCGAGGCCTCGGCGGAGGCGCTGACGCGCGCCCGCGAGGCCGAGGCGCTCGAGGCCGAGGCGAAGAAGGAAGCGGACGCCGAGGCCGAGGCCAAGGCTGCGGCCGAGGCGCAGGCCGTCGCGGAAGCGAAAGCTGCGGCCGAGGCGCAGGCTGTCGCGGACGCCAAGGCTGCGGCCGAGGCTAAATCCGCGGCGGACGCCAAGGCCGCCGCGGACGCCAAGGCTGCTGCGGAGGCCAAGGCGGCCGCGGAGGCGAAAGCTGCTGCAGAGGCCAAGGCCGCCGCGGATGCCAAGGCTGCCGCGGATGCCAAGGCGGCCGAGACCAAGGCTGCTGCGGAGGCCAAGGCTGCTGCGGATGCTAAGGCTGCCGCGGACGCCAAGGCTGCCGAGGCCAAGGCTGCTGCAGAGGCGAAAGCGGCTGCGGACGCCAAGGCTGCTGCGGACGCCAAGGCTGCTGCGGAGGCCAAGGCTGCTGCGGAGGCCAAGGCGGCCGCGGAGGCGAAAGCTGCCGCGGAGGTGAAAGCGGCTGCCGAGGCCAAAGCGGCCGAGGCCAAGGTTGCCGCGGACGCCAAGGCTGCCGCGGAGGCCAAGGCCGCTGCGGACGCGAAGGCTGCCGCGGAGGCGAAAGCTGCCGCGGACGCCAAGGCTGCCGCAGAGGCGAAAGCGGCTGCCGAGGCTGCCGAGGCCAAAGCGGCCGAAGCTAAAGCGGACGCCGAGCTCAAGGCGAAAGCGGACGCCGAGGCGCTCGCTGCGACCAAGGCGAAAGCGGACGCCGACGCGGAAGCGGACGCGGTCGCGCGAGAAGCCGAGGAGAAGAAGGCCGAGCCGACGGAGGCGACGGTCTGCGTGGCGGCCGAGGCGCCGAGCCCCGTCGCGGCGCCGGCCGCGCTCGAGGTCTCCGCCGCGCGGTCGCCGGTCGAGGCCGCGGAGTCGGAGCCCAACGCGGGGCCCGAGGGTGACGCGGCGTCCGCGGAGGAGGAGGACGACGACGAAGCCGCGGCCGCGTCGGACGCGCCGGCGCGCGAGCCGGAAGCGGCGGCCGCCGAGGACGACAAGCCGGCGAAGCCAGGAGCGGCGGACGACGCGCGACCACCCGAGCCGCCGGAAGCGGCGAAGCCGCAGCCCCGGCGGTCGTCGATCCTCCAGACGATCATCGGCGTCGTCGGCAGCTTCCGCCGGTCCTTCCGCAAGGCGGCGCCGCCGCCGCCCGCGGCGCCGCCGGCGCCGGCGCCGGCGCCGGAGCCGCCGAAGGAGGAAGCCAAGGAGGCGCCCGCGGAGCCGCCCGCGCCCGCGGAGCCGCCGGCGCCCGCGGCGCCCGTCGCGGAGCCGCCGGCCGCGGCGCCCGCCGCGGCCGCGCCGGAGCCGGAGGCGGCGCCCGCGCCCGCGCCCGCCGCCGCGGAGCCGGAGCCGGCCGTCGCCGAGGCCGCGCCGCCGCCCGAGCGGCCGGCGTCGCGGTCCCGGGGCTCGCGCCGCGAGCGGCCCACGCCCGA